TTATGTAAATATAAGCTACATCCATTGTAGCCTGCCCCATGTTCAACTGCTGCATTCAGGAAAACTCTTACTTTTATTCAGCCTCCAGACTACTGTAGGCACTGAAAATTCAGCACTGAGACTTGGTTAGCTTTTTTTCCACATTTGTCTATTCATCTTGTATGCTTTTCACAGAATGCAAGGCTTTCTGCGAATGGAGAAGGTGTGCATGCAAGTCGCAATCTCCACTCATGTAATCACATAACACCTTGTATTCTGTGTAAAGAATTCAAGATGGTTTTTGAATGGATGAGGTGGAGAGCGAGTGACCCCCATATCAGAACTGTGCTATAGCCAGAACTGTAAGTCTCAGCACCAGATGTTTGGTGCCTACAGTCCTGTACAGTCTGAATAAAAGTAAGAGTTTTGCGGAAAGCAGCACCCACCGCACATGTGACAGACATCAATAGAGGTAGTTTTTATTTACATCACAAATGTAAAAAAAAAAAATCCCCTGAAATTAGCTTTAAGATTTTAAAATAATTTGGGCAATACTAAATTATGTTTTTTCAATTTACAGTCTGGTTGTGTAGATTAAAACACCACTTTTTAGATTTTGTAACTTAATTTGCATTTTAGGAACGAATGTATACTTCTGATACTTTTGACCTTTGTCCACCAGTGAAGACGCGGGAGTGCTGTTGCATTAGCCATGAGTCTTCCAATGATGAGGTCATTCTGTTACTGACACTCCTCATGTTTTGTGCACTATAGATGAATCTGTGAAGTGCCCAAAAAAACCCCATGGTAAAATCTGATGTGGGAATTAGGTTTTATGTAAACTTTTACAAATATAACAATCTTGTCAGCTGTATTTGTGTCATAATATCATGTGTGGAATTGAAGGAAAGCACATTTCATCTGTGAAAATTCAAAGACAAAAAATGCCAAATCCCACACTCCCATATTGCATTAATTTGTGTTAAAGCTGGAACAAAATGATAAGAATTAAAATGCTGGTGGCTATGGAAGTAAGGGGCCTTTTAGTTCTGTTGTTTTAAAACATAATTTCTATATAAAGAAAAATAAAGACTCCAGGAATAGATTTTTTTTTTTTTTTGAAGCAGTCAAGTAGTACACATAGCTAACATAGTGAGATTTGTTACTCCCACTATCTGTCAACTACCAAATCATCCTCTATGTACCTAAACATAACAGACCTCTCCACCTCATACTTGGGGACTTATTTACCGAATGCAAAGTAAGCTAACAAGACATTTAAACAGCGTTCACTTCAAAAATCCAATTACGTGCAGGGGTATTGGAAATTTGAGGTGCACATAGGATCCTAACGGTTTGACACTGTCTATACTCATAGGTAAAAGAAAAATGGAAGCTGCCATTACTGACCTCTCATTCTGAAAAACTAGCTGATTGACCTCCATGCTGATTGGCTAACTTCAGTAGTTTGAGTCTCTGAATCAAACAAATATGCAGATAAAGACTTGCAGCTCTACTAATCAGCATACTTGTTCCAGGTCAGTGACTCAGATTGTGGTGAAGACAGAGGATAAGCCTAACTAGTAAGGAAATTGGCATTTTCAGAAAGCTGTCAGAAATGACCAGCCCCATATTTCTACTTGAAAAGGTTTACCTTGGTGTCATTGTGTTTTTAGAGGTCAGCTCAGTGCATCAAAAGGTGGCATTTTAGTTATAGGTATAATGTGATGAAATTACTAATCTGCTGGGGACGCCAACAGCTAGGTCTGCCTTGCTCTATTTCATGACATTTTCAGTGCTCACTTCGAAGAGTTGAGTGAAATTGAATAAAAATCTTACAAAACTATTGAGATTTCTAAAGCACTTAAGAAACTGATAAGTGGTTTATCTCCCAGATTCTACCTATAACTAAAACTTTACTTTTGATTTCATTGACCCTAAATAAAATCCCCGGTTAGATTTATGCTTAGAAACCTGGTTTTGTATAAGGTTTATTTTGGTCCAAGCCTAGGAAAGCAAATGCAGTGAGGCATCAACCTACCTTTTTCTTTATCTTACCAATATTTCTCTTTATATAAACATTGAAGGATGAAATAATATTATCCTACTTGGCGCTTACACTTATTGTAAATAATAAGGCATGGATTGTGCTTTTGTTGGCAGTACAGTTGCAGTAGCCAGACGGAGAAATCTGGCAGACTGTCCATTGGCCAAAACATTTTCATGGCATCCAGTGACAACAGTCTAGCACTGGCAGTAAGCAGGATAGCATCAGCTGCAATCTTCAGATCTTGGATAAAATAATGTATATAAATGCTGCTGTATCAACAATTCAGTAATATATCATAATGCATAGCAGCAATGTTTCTATTATACAATGGGTCTTTTGTATAGGAAGTGGAGTTGTCCCTCTGCCTTCATAGTTTTATAGCTATTTGTAATCTTTTATTGTTTAAAGAATTACAAATTACAGGTTAAAAAAACAGATGATGAGTTCTGATCTGAGTTATTTCCACATGTCTTGCTTAACTTTTTTTAATACAAAGTCATTTGGTTCAAGTAACCCTATTAAAGTGTGTATATACACCAAAGAACAAAAATTGAATATGTTGCACCTTACCAGTGTTTTGATGTACTGGCTGCATTAGTTTCCTTTGAACGCTAAGTACATTATCTGCATTTACAGAATAATTTATGTTGATCTTGCCAAAAGTTATAAGCTGTGTACAGAGCTAAAATCTCAAACCATGGTTGATTTAGTAAAGGAATAGAGCAAAGTAATTTTCACATTGGAAGGGAATGTTAATTTACCTTGTGAACATGGGGATGATTTACTTTGCAAAGAACACCAAATCAGGTGAGGGGAAAAAAACAGGATTTTAGGTTGCACATGACTGGATGATTTAAGTCAGCAAAGCTTCACCACAGTCCCTACACTAGGTGAAAATTCAGTTTGCAAAGTAAACAGCCTACATTTCTTTAGTAGATCAACTTCAGTGTTATCAACTCTCTCAGCTTTTTTCTATGAGCTTCAAAACTCCCTTCTACTTGTGCAATTGAGATAAGGAGTGGAGGAGGTGTTTGTAGTCCAAATCAGGAGAATAGCCTAGGATGAAAATGCTGCTCCTCCATAGATGCAGTTAAATAAGTGTTGTCATCCTACAACTGGAAGTGTGTTACCACAGGATCCTTATCCCCAAAAAGTAGGAAAATTAACTGACAAAAAGAAAATGAGTGCAGCTGCCACATCTAAGGACTGGTAAGCTGCAATATATTAAATTTTTGCTTCTAGATACATTTTGAGGAAGGCTACCATATGTACACACATGTTACATTATAGATCTGTTTTGTGTTATTGACCATGTCTGTGTTGGTAACATGCATTCAGTCTTTGCACTGTGATTAGTACTGCCAGCTGTTGATTTGGGGTATGGGGACAGTCTGAAAACATGAGGTAGTATAATGAGTCTTTGTTGGCAATATCAAGCAGATGATGCATGTTCCCTTTGTTGGTGGTTAGAAAACAAGGACAGACTTCTGGTAGCTATGGATAAGACCTTCACTACATCAATTTTAATAGAGCACCTTCCTTTTCCATGATCAATGTTTGTGTACTGAACACAACTGTTATAGTTGCTTCATGTATACAAGCATTTTTAAAAATGAACAAATTCCTGTTTTCATATTTGTATTTATTTTGATTGGAAGTGTGCTTATATTAATAGCAAAAGAAAAGGAAATTGAAGGTCAGGTGCATTATAGGCGTTCAATGGCATTGCATGAAAGTTATTTTCATTAGTTTTCCTATTGCTTTTTCTGCAAAAGAAAAAAAAGCTCCGTAATAAAACTTTATATTACAAACAAGAATCAGCCAACCACTAACTTTATGTATTCTACTCAGATGTGGAATTCACTGGAAATAATAATAAGCATTAATCATTTGTGACTCTATAGAAGTAGCCATCTCTGGTCCATTCATTGAAAACTGATGGCAGAATCTTTACTGAATACATGAAGTATCCCGTTCTGTCCTGTAATTACATAGCAATCCATGGTCTATACAAAATGGATTGTGTATAGTATGACACAATGAACCTCAAACACCTTTGTTAATGTGAAGATTGAATTGTGTTTAAATTCTTCTTTCCACAGCCCTGCCTCATCTCCCCAGCTATCACACGATGACACTCACTCACGAATTGAACATTATGCTAGCAGGTATGACTCTATGGCACAAGCATCCAGAATATACTAGAAAGCCTTGTACCGTTTAGCTCATTCCATCAGGAGAGTCTTATGAGGCATCAGAACTACTTCCATGCTCTACAACGATTTGCTGGATTTCCTATGTGTCAGTCTGCCATTAAACCTCTATCTATCTTGCATTTCATGCCTGTTACTCACCAGGGCCTGAGAAATGAAGCGATAAAATGTATGCAACTTAATTCCACAACTTCTTTTGAACTATCCAGCACCAGACTTTTACATTGCGTTTATTTAAATGTTAGGAACCATTACTCATTTACAATTGAAGATGGATATGTGTTGGACATTTTTAAATGGCCAAATTGTTAACTTGAAATGTTTTTTTACATTGTATAAGAAATAAACAAAGCCACCATGTGTAGAAAAATAGTATTTTCTACCACACAGGCGTTTATTTAAAAACATAGAGCAGATTTTATGCATTGCAATCATTACATTAATTATTCGTTTTGAATAATCCTCTGGGAACTGTTTCCTGATTGGTTCGTTATGAGGCACCACATTCACTGATCCTTGCCTTGTGTTACTGTATGAAGCCTTTGATGTTATTTGATGCTCATTGTGCTAAAAAAATATTAGTATGCTTTTCATACAAGGTTGTATAGAAAAATGCTGTAAATGTTTGAGCTTTTGGGACCTAATTGTTAAATCTCTATGCAGCCCAAAAGACCATCAATTCTGATCAGCATACATGTCTGAGGCTATTATGGGTCTGGGCTGTATGCTCTCAGGCCTTGATGCCAGGGAGCTGTGAAAGACGAGAAACTCTTTAAAGGTCACTGGGGAATAAGTGTTATTAGATATTATCATTTTGATTATATTGTTCATCTTTAGAATAAATATTAAGCTTACACTGGAAACAAATGTGTAAAGCTAATCAGTTAATTTAACCTGAACTGTTGTACTGTGATTTAAGTACAGTATGCGTGTCTCTTTGCATGGAGGGGAGCTCTCCAATTACATGTTACTCTGTCAGTAGTAGAGATGAAGGTGTTTAGCTCAACTAGTATCATAACCTTCATGAACGCTTGTGCCCAACTCTGTGTGGACTATATTGATACGAATTTGGGGATTTTACTACCACTAACCACACAGAAGGTGACACAAAGATGCAGCACTAAATGCAGTATATACCAATCCTCACCATCCACCCCATACCCCCCTCTGTCCATTCCCCAGTGCTCTCTTCTAACCCACTATACTAAAAACGCCTCTGTAATTATATTTACCAATCTGCAGACCCAGGCTCTCTCCAGTTTCTAGGTCTGTGACACAGGGTACACCTGGTCTTCGCCTTTAATGGACTTTATGCAAACCCCTCGCTGCAACTTTGTTCTGGGCTTGCAGCTGGAGATACGAATTTCTATTACAGAGATCTTTTTAGCACATTAGGTTGGAGGACAGCTGGTTAGTAAGGACTGGTTTGGTTTAAATTTCTTCATCAGGAAAAAATGTTAAATTACCCAACAATTCTCTTCCATCTTCCTTCCATGTGTACTAAGATGAACTGTGTAGCTACAGGATAACTCTAACAAATGCTTTTGCATGCCCATAAGTGTTGGATTAACTGTGCCATGATAATTGTTTAACTGTAGTTACTGTTAATGTCTATGTGTTTTACTGCTTTAACGGAGGTTAGCAAAACTGAACTATTTGTTAGAAATGCATCAGATGATGGCTGTGGTAGTTGTGTTGTTATTTATGTCTAATATTCAGCCTATCACGAACAGGAAGATGTGATGCAAATACCAGCTTATTATATGGTTGTGAGGTTGCCCATGTAAGGTGTTGCAGGCAGAAATTTCTATACACTTAATTGAGAGTAGTGCATTTGAATAATCAATGCAAGCAGCCCTTAAAAAATAAATATTGGCTTTATTGCATTATATGTATAATTTTTTGAGAAATATTACATGTACAGTTGCAAGCAAATGTGGTTAGTCATTGGAGGAACACACTAGTAGGTACAAAATATCAGAATTTTAATTGGGTCTGTCACGTCTTATAACACAACAGGATCTAAATATTCAATAACTGTACATTGAGACTGACTGAATCCTGCCTGGGCATTGACTTTATATTTCTAAAGCACTTAATACCTAATAATATTCCCTCCTGCTATTAAACTACTTTGTATTATCTGTAAAAGGGGTTTCAAATCAACAGCTTTTTACTGCAATAAAACCTTTTGTGCAGATCTTATACATTTCAGTGGAAAGACCCCAGGAAATTATTTGGTGCTTCTGCTAAAAGCTTTTTTCTTTTTTACAGCATTTTAGATTGTGAGGGTTAGATCCTCTATTAAGCTTGTGATGCCAATGGTGCCCCCAAAGAAGGGATTTCCCTTTACTTCCTGCCCTAGTGACATTCAAGTTATTGCTGTGAGCTTTCCATTTTTTGGACTGTCCAGTAAATTCTGATGACGGGTTCGCGGGTGGTGGATTTTATTTAAGGATGGGTAGAGTATGCACTCTAGAAAGCATTAATAAGAATATTTAGTTGGCAGTAATGCACTGGCTGACACTGATCAGGACACTGATCAGGAAGTTCATGGCAACAGGGGCACACAGACATGGCTAGAACTCTCCTTTAGCAATAAATGAAGAGTAGCAATTGTGACTCCATGTTTCATGTGACTTCAGGTTTATATTAGTCCCTTCACTGTGTCACTACTGTGTCAGACCTTCATTACGTGTTTTGTGCTGTACATTTTCCAACTGTTTGAAGTTCTTATTACTGCTAATCTATGTAGTGCCAGTCTTTTAAACTGACAATTTAGCTTCCGCCTCAGGTTTCCTCTGGCTATAGTAGTGCCAGTGCTGGGAACCACCATCTTGTTAAACAAACATTTGGTTTGTAAATATGAAGTTTTCTTTTATTCATTTTTTTGTGTCATTTTGTTTTATGTGACTTGGCTGAAATGTTAAGTGCACAATTTATCCAATAAGCTTTTTATTTGTAACAAATATGCTATTTTGTTATTTCTACATGTACCCAAATATGTTATTATTGAACAAATGCTGAAGAAATTAAGTCTTCACTTGTACAAATGACTGCTTGAGGGATTGCTCAGATGGTACCCCAAAGCAATGCTTCATTTACTATTTAGCAGCAGTACTGTAAATGTCACTGAACATCCAAAGAAAGTAATATGTCATATATTATTGTAAAAGTACATTAGTGCTATGATTTCCTTCAACATGATAATAATTAAGTGTTCAACTCCACACATACAAGCTGCATAACTGTACAGAAGGAGCAGACTTGATAAAAAAAAAAAATCTATAGTCAAGGAGAAGCATGACCCACTGAGTTGGTTCAAAATGTAGCATGCAGAAAACATACTTCCACATACCCACTATGCATTATTACTGCCCCCTTGGTGCTACTCTGATACTATAATCATATGCATGTGACTTTTTCTCTGACAACTGAGTGGCCTATGTGTGCCTGAATCCTTCATACTCGATAAGAAGTCTCTCCAGTGGGGACACAGACAAAAACATAATTTTAAGAAAGGTTTAGAATGTTTGACAGTGTTTTTTATTGCTGCCCATACCCCAGGGTCAACAACACCCCACCTGTTTATTTTTTTTCCATTGGTCACCAGAGAAAATGTAATTATTTTAGTCACATGAATTATAAGTAGATAACCCCTGTACAAGACCAGATATGTGAGTGAGGCAGCATGGGGGCATATTTATCATAGACGTTTCTAAGCACCATGAATTTTCAGATTTTCCAGTAAATGCCAATTCAAACATCGACAGGAATACTGCAATGAGTTCCATACTGTTGTGCTATGTCTCAATATAATCATCTTCTTGCAATACTGACAGTGATACAGCATGTGTAAGTCTGAAGAACAGTATATGAGTATATGTCTCTCTTTAATGTTTCCACAGGCTAGCTGAAATGGAAAACAGCAACGGATCCTACCTAAATGATAGCATTTCCCCTAATGAAAGCATGTATGTATGATAATGACTGTCTCAATTTCAGATTAAACATGTTTCCTAAAAGACTAATATGATTTTTACTTTTCAGATCTCTATAAAAAATGTGCTTTTCTTTTTTGGATTTGATTGGTAGTATAGGACTACAAAACAAGACCATCAGTCTAGAAAATTTGTTACGGCATTGAATTTCATGCTCTCAATTGTATTTAATGTTTTTGTTTTTTGAAGAGAGGCAATAGTTTATATTGTAATATGTTATGTAGTAATCATTTAAAATCTGTGTTTTGTTTATAGTTTTATAATAATGGCTGAAATGTAAATGGCAGGCAGTCCTTTATACCCATAGCATATGTAGTCTCTGCTTCCTGCTTAGGAGTACAACCATTGTGCTTTACTGCTTTTCTGTATGAAAACAAGAGACAACTGATCTTATCCCAACAGTCAATGTATTACTTTTTTGTAGTTTTTGATAAAGTGGTGAGGGCTTAAGACCCTAGGCAGCTTTTTGCTGTGGTTTGTGCCCCTGATATAAACATTCACCCTCTCTATTTGTCCTGGTGACCATTTTCACTAAGAGAGAACGTAACTGAAAATCCAAAATGTGACCGTTTAATTTAAAACAAGAGTTCTAATGAAATGTAAATCTTTCTATAGTAACAGCTGTTCTGGTGACAAGTGTCTAAGGGGAAGTCTCCACACTTTGTAGAGATTTTCTCTAATTTCCTGTATTTTCCAGGATGCTCATGTGCAGTTGTGTAAATATGTGAATGGGTACTTGCACACAATCCTGACTGTCTGCATTCAGGGCTGTCCAGCGTAAAAGCGTAAAGCCTTGTACAGCCATTGACTTCTATGGGAGCCTTTACACAGCACCTGTGGCTCCATGCCGGAAATACACTGGGGTTTTTACATTATATGGCCACAGGCAGCCATGTGCATGAGCCCTTAACTTGAACTCCAGGAACAAAATAAAACTAACAGGACGTAGTCTAAATTCAAAACACAATGGTGTGCATTGTTGCTTAATGAGACAATATTTTAGCTGAGCACCAGTATGGAGTGCAGAAAGATCTCAATAGGAAGCATAGTGAGAATGGATTATGAGGGGGAGACCATGAAAGCTGATCGGGAAAGTTTGCTGAGTGTGCGGGGAGGAGACAGAGTGTGACCTCTGGTCACAGCCCTGTTGAATGAACAGCTGATTATGTCTTCACTAGCTAGTGTGTGACTGCCATGGGGGCTGCATACAGCCAGTAAAGTCTGAACTCCCAATGGGCATCCTTTTTAAATCACCAAGCCAGGCATTAAAGTTTGGACCTTTCTAAAAGAAGTCAGCAATGACAGTTACCATATATTTATCTTCACAGGTACCTTTTTTTAATCTTGTGTTGAATGCACCCAAATAACATGTGGCATTTTGTCCAAGTTAAATACTGTAATGTGTACTGTACTCGCATTTGGAGTGAAGACGATTTATCAATGAAGTGATACAGTGCAATCTTGCCCGAGTGCAAAACAGTAAAAAAAAAAAGCAATATGCACATACTCTTACCCTTTAAATTCTTGTCACAGCAACTTGCTTTTAACTGGTAATGAAGACTTTTGTTTTTTATAATTTGCTGTACTTTTACCTGACATTTGAGGAGAAACCTGTCCCACTTATGAGTCAGGCCTAGTCAAGCAACTCTTTGGGAGGCTGGTCTGACCAGCGTTTCTTATAGTGGGCGAAACATCAAAAGCAGTAATAACATTGGTTAAATATGCATCTGTAGTAATCGTTCATCTTGTTCATATTTCATTATGAATGCTATCTTTTAATGTTTGCTGCTTCTTTTAAGTACCCTTTTAGTATTCTTGTGCCTTGGTGATTTAGATTAATTTCCTGTGCCTGCCTGTTCACAGGACAGATTTGGAAGGTGATAAAAGACTAATAGCAATTGACATATTGCTCCATCTCACTATAGATTGAAGCTAATGCAAATACAATAATTTTGCCTGAGGAAGATAAATGGTTGCTGTGTCTAAATAACGATTTCTGCTTTATTATTACACAATTAAAAGCAAACTACTCCGTTAACTGAATGTGTTTACCCATGTAGCACGGTACTGAAAACACAAGGTTTCCTTTTTGTTTACTTACCGGCTTTAGTTTTGAATGGAGTTGTACTTTCATCATGCACATTTTATTGCCATTTGCAGTTATTCATTTTTACAATTACTACATTGCTGTTTAGGGTGGAAAACTTTAATGGATCATTTAAGCAAATCTGTCTTTCTTTCAAATATGTGTATATGTATGTGTGTGTGTGTGTGTGTATATGTATATATATATATATATGTGTATATATATATATATACACATACTCACACACACACTACTGTGCAAAAGTTTTAGGCTGTAAAGTAAGAATACTTTCAGGAAAAAAAGTGTTTATAGTTTATTTACAAAATGGAAAGTAAATGTACAGCAAAGAAATCAATGTAAAATCAATATTTGCTGTGACCACCCTTTGCCATTCTTCAAGGTACGCTTGTGCACAGTTTTTGAAGGAACTTGGCAGGCAGGTTGTTGCAAACATCTTGGAGAACTAACCACATACCTTCTGTGGATGTAGGCTGCCTCAAATCCTTCTGCCTCTTCGTGTAATCCCAAACAGACTCGATGTTGAGATCCAGGGCACTGTGGGGGGGCAAACCATCACTTCCAGGACTCCTGGTTCTTCTTTACGCTGAAGACGGTTCTTAATAACATTGGATCTATGTTTGGGGTTATTGTGCTGCTGCAGAATAAATTTGGGGCCAATCACACTCCACCCTGATGGTATGGCATGATGGATAAGTACCTGCTAGTATTTTTCAGCATTGAGGGCGCCATTGATCCTGACCAAATCTCCGACTCCATTGGCAGAAATGCAGCCCCGGACTTGCAAGGAACCTCCACCATGCTTCACTGTTGCTGCAGACACTCATTATTGTGCCACTCTCCAGCCTTTTAGCAAACAAACTGACTCCTGCTACAGCCAAATATTTCACATTTTGACTCATCAGTCCAGAGCACCTGCTGCCCTTTTTCTGTACCCCAGTGCCTATGTTTTCATACATAGTTGAGTTGCTTAGGCTTGTTACGAAGACTGCAGAAAAATGGCAGCAGGTGTTTTGGACTGATGAGTCAAAATTTGAAATGTTTTGCTGTAGTAGGAGGAAATTTGTTCACCGAAGGGCTGGAGAGCAGTACAATAATGAGTGTCTGCAGCAACAATTAAGCATGGTGGAGGTTCCTTGCAAGTCTGGGGCTGCATTTCTGCCAATGGAGTTGGAGATTTGGTCAGGATCAATGGTGTTCTCAATGCTGAGAAATACTAGCAGGTATTTATTCTGCAGCAGGACAACAACCCCAAACAGTTCTTAATGACCTTGGCTTTGTTGACTTCAGTGTAAAGAAGAACTGGAAGTGATGGTTTGGCCCCCACAGAGCCCTGCTCTCAACATGATCAAGTCTGTATGAAATTACCTAGGTTACAGCATTTTTTCACACCTGCCTAAACCTTTTGCACAGTACTGTGTGTGTGTATATGTATGTATGTATGTATATATATTTATTTTTGTTATGTGTATTTTTCTATACACTGCACATCACTTGCATGATGTTCCCAAATACATGTATTTAGAATGTTGTTCTCACACACAGAACATTCTTTTGACAAATATGTTTAAGCTGCTAAATCCTTTTAACATGTCATTTTTAGATCAAGATCAAAAAGTTCAGGACAGGAAGTCCAATGTGCACAAAAATGATTTCCAAATTACCACAAAATTGGAAATATATTTATTTTTATGTTTTCATGCAATATGAGTTCATCCTTAACTAGCTTTTATTATGTGAGGTTGATGCACGCTTTCCTAACCCCTGATATAAGGAAGAGATGTGTTCACATTTTTCACCAATTTATTTAAAGTGACACTAAACTCAAGAGTTAAAATGCATTTATGTACCTTAACTATTATCAAAATTGTATCTTCTTTGTGCATCACTTGGCTGTTGATCCTCAAATCATCTCTGAATTGGTCCTGACACTGTCCTTCCTTCTGGAGGTTGACTACTTTTGATCCTCATGGTCCCTGTGTGTGTTATAAAGTAGCTACCACTCCAAGCTTGCTCCCATGATGGACTACAGTCTCACATTTAGTTTGCTATTTTGTATTGAGATTGTAGTCCATCCAATTTATAGATGGATTGTAGTCCATCACAGGAGCAAGCTCGGAGTTTTAAGATGTAACTCCTGTGTTTAGTGTCACTTTAACTATATTTTATGCTAACTGGATTTTGTAAGCTCTGATAACTCTATTTTGATGCATCATATTTATGTGGTCAAGATCCTGCATTGTAGAGTTTTATGGTCACATGTTTTCTTACTTCAAAGACCATAGACATTGTTACCTTTTTTATAGACTAGGCCTGTTATTTTCCATTTGTAGTTTAATCTAGAATATTTTTTTCATAATTTAGTTAATGCTAACAAACAATATGTTTTTTTTGTTTTTTTTCTGATTTTACAAATTAAAAGCAGCCCCATTTTTTTACACCTGTAACCAGCTATTTTTTTTATTATTTTTTTTTAAACAGTAGGGTTGTACAACAGTGAATTATAAATTTAAAGATGCATTTCAATTACACACCGTTGTAGAAGTGTGAAAATGTGCAAATAAGTGGAGGCTGAACCAGGTTTGTTGAGATCCTATTAGGTTACCAAGCAGCCAGTAATGGTTCTGAGATGTCCTCTGCTTCTGGTCTGTGGTTTCATGGGGCTGTGAAGAGATGCCACATATACATGTTACCATGCACTGACATAAAAAGCACAAGTACAGTTAATGGTAGGCATGATGTTATAATGTATGCACATAGTGAGTATATGTGAAACAAGAGATTATATATTCAGACTTGGAGATTTAAAAAATATTTTGTTGTAAGTTTGTTTTAAATTTTAACCGTTCCACTGATGTTTTTTCACAGAATAGATTAATATATCACCTTTTCTGTCCTCAATTAAGCATATTATGCAATGGATCTAAGCCCTCAGCTGTGTAAGATTTAAGATTAAATATTCTGTTATATTTTCTCAGAAATGTGATTGGGATAAATTAAAACTGATTTAGCTGAGGAAAACTGTGTGGATATAAATGCTCTCTATTGTTTCCTGCAGAGATGATGAGCATTTACTTATCCAGCACTACTGCCAAAGCTTGAACCAGGAGTCTCCTCTAAGCCAGCCCCGAAGCCCTGCCCAGATCCTGATCTCCTTAGAAAGTGAAGAACGAGGGGAGCTTGAGAGGATTCTTGCCGACTTGGAAGAAGAGAATAGGTTTGTTTAACATTATGAATATTTATAAGTCTGTATCTCTTAAAATATTGTTGCTCCCCCTGAGAGCCTTGCTACTCCAAAATCCCTTTTTCCCATCACTATTAGCATCTCAATGTCTTATGGTCACAGTCCGTTTAGGTTACACTGGCCATACACATAAAGATATATAATGTACGGGACTGAAAAATTGTTTTGTTCAAGTTTTTTTCTGTACAATGTGGTCATACTAACAAATAAACCTTGTTTATTAAAAGTCACTTTTTGTAATGCCTTTTGGTTAACAGTTATAATAGTTGTTTTGCTCAACTGTTTAATATAATTTTGGTGAAGTCATTATTTTTAGGTATATGGGCCAACAGGTGCTGACCTACACATGTGTTTTGATCCAGAACTTCGTCTTAAACTAGCCATACTCCTATAGATTTTCTGCAGATTTTCTCTGGTCAGATGGGAAAAGTGCCACAGATTCCTCCATCTATGCTAAACTGTGTGGATGGAGGAATCTCCCGCTGGGCCAAGCTTCAGTATCTTGCTAGTCTGCCCCACTGGCTCTACCTGAATAATCTGATTGGATGCTGGCATTGTTTAGGTATTTTGACAGCCAGCGGGGCCAACTAGCAAGATACTGAAGCTTGGCCCAGTGGGAGATTCTTCCATCTACACAGTTTAGCGTAGATGGAGAAATCTGTTGCACTTTTTCCATCGACCATAGGAAATCTGCAGAAAATCTATAGGTGTATGGCCAGCTTTAGTACGGCAAACACATTTAGGGTAAAAAGAAGGCCGTGATCTCTGGTTTTCTTAATGTGAGCCATAAATATTTTACTATGGCCAGCTCTGCACGGCAAACACATTTAGGGTAAAAAGAAAGCCGTGATTTCTGGTTTTCTTAATGTGAGCCATAAATATTTTACTTTTTAATAATTAATTTGTAAGGTTGGTTTTAAATGTTTAATGGACTATCAATGAATAATAATTAGGTGGTGTACATGAAGTGTCAATGATCAGCTCACTATATTTCTAGATATTAAACAGTGCTACCTGCAATCAGTGCATAGCAACACTTCTTCCCAAGTGCAAAACAGTAACAAGCCACAAAATGCCAGCACTTTTGAAAGTTCCACAATTCAAGTTTATTTCTATGGCCAGAATTGGCTAAAATGTGTCAGAAGCTGTTTTTTAACCTTTACTCACTAAAAATAAATAAACTTGCATCATGAAACTTTTAAAAGAGCTGGGTCTCTTTACCTCATGTTCCCGTATGTGTAGTTGCCTCCGCCTCCCCACTTGCACATGCTGTAAATCTACTTATGTCTCTGTGCTATCAGTCATAGTTACTGTGCTATTTTTTTCCATTGATCTGCTGATTTAACACTTGGACACAATCAATTGGCAACCCACCCCAAATATGTCCATTACCCAATTTGGGCCCCGACCCATAGTTTAGGAAAAACTGGGCTAAAGAATACATATTAGTGTGTGCTTATTTATAGGGTACAGACATTGTGTTATACCACAATGCTGGCTACTAGGTCCTCATCTGTTTCTCTAAGTGGGGAAAGTTACATTGAGTAAAGTATGCCTTTTTGGTGGAGGTGTTTGTAATATGGAACATGATTTACCATTGCAATAAAATTGTTCAAAACAGTGGTAACTGCAGTTCTCTGTTTCTAAATGTAAAGTTATGAACTTAGGGGAAAATAATCCTATCACAGAGGTATGGCATTGGGGATGCAGTATTAGCCAAAGTATACAGAGCTTATTCCAGATAATTGCTAAATGAATAAACATTTTGGCCAGGCAGCTAGAGCAAATAGAATTCTGGGGTTCACCACTATAGGGATCACCAGCAGGAGGAATGTGGTCTTGATTTCACTATACTGCTTTTAACCTTATTAAACCCCATTTAGAATATTGTGTCCAGTTCTGAAGACCCAGCTAACAAAATAATATTGATGAAATAAAATGAGTCCAGAGGCAGGTAACAAATTTGGGCATCAAGGAAACAGGTAAAAGTGAGAGGGCATGGTTGAAATCTTTAAAGAACTCCCAGGATTTTTTTTATTAACCCTTGCAGTGGGGCTACCCCTGCACTGCAAGGGTTAAGTGCTCCTGAGCTCCAAGCCGGCCGGCTGTCTCGTTGCTCCTTCCAGCCCGTCTCCTCCGTAGCATGTTAGAATGTTCCTCAGCGTCCTCGCGTCTATGCACAGTGTATAGATGTGATGATTTACTGGACCTTAGACCACTGCAGAGGAAGGGGAGAGAAATCCCAGGGACCAATCTAAGGAGAAGCCAGCTGGAGTTCTGCTTTAAATGCATTAATCGTGTTAAATATATTTCAAAAGGGCAGTTTTTGTAAAATGAAGCTGAGCTAAAAAAAAACATTAGGGGAAGGCCTCAAGGTGTAAGGTTTTTAATCAATATTTTACCAAAGGAGAAGCACATGCTTGGAACAGCCTACCAGCTTAGATAGTGAGTCAGTCAATAGTAATTAAATTTAAATATGCATGGGATAAGCAATGGTCTATCTGCAGACAAAATGTAGTAAAAAAAAGACAGACTCAATTGACCACTTTTTGTTTCTTTTACAAACAGGAATTTGCAGTCTGAATATGACCGATTGAAGGAACAGCACGATCACAAGGGATTGTCCCCACTGCCCTCCCCTCCAGAAATGATGCCAGCCTCCCCGCAAAGCCCACGTGATGCAGAACTTATCGCAGAAGCCAAACTTCTACGCCAGCACAAAGGACGACTAGAAGCTAGAATGCAAATACTAGAAGATCACAACAAGCAATTGGAGTCGCAGCTGCATCGGCTCAGACAATTGCTGGAACAGGTATGGGACAAATAACTAATACGGTAATCTTGACCTAGGTCATCAATCATACTTGACCTATGTGAACCTACTATGAAGCCAACATAATGCTGAGAATGGGAAATGCAGTATTTTCAGTGTGCAATCCTGCGGTGCAAATCACATTAGATGCAAATCATTAAACTAGTACCACTCATTATTGCTGATTGCAATTCCGTGTAGGGTTTTGTTGGTGGAGCTGGATTGGAACGAAAAGGGGCATTCTAAAATGCCTTTTATACAAATGTATATTTTGTTTTGCTGGCTGCCTGGCTTTATTGTTTGCGCTTAGCTTTATTATTTGTTTGATTCTCCTTTAGACCTTGAAAATTTCAATTTCCATATCTGGGAAATAGAAAACTTGCAATTGACCCAGGAGAAATTTCCATTTATTGATTTTTAGGAGCTAATAACATACTTTTAAAGAACAACTCCAGGGGAAAAAAATGATTAAGCCTTGCAGTCGGGCTACCCCATGCCTTCAAGGGTTAAGTTCTCACTTTTGTCTAGATTTAAAAAAAAGTTATAGACACTTGATCCTCTGTACCAGTCTGCTCTTAGACCGGTCCCTTGATTCTCTCTTCCCCACTGATGCAGTGGTCTAAGGTCCATGAGGCATCACGTTCTATACACTAGGTATAGGACATGAGGATGTCAAAGGACATGCCATCGCTGCAACAGAGGAGGAGACCAGCTGGAGGGAGTGCGGTCAAAGCCGGATTTATTTTTTTCTTTTTAACCTAGACGCACACGAGCACATAACCCTTGCAGTGTGGGGGTTTACAAAACACTAGCTTGTCAATTATATCAAGCAGTCATTGTGAATGGATGTCACTATGACTGCTTGATAATTCAAATTAGTTTTTGGTTATTATAAGACTGCCCCAAGCTCTGGGACGCCCCATAATAACCTTAGTGACACTGATCCGGACATGCACTGCATGTCCGGATCAGATGTCACTAAAGACTTCTAATCCTTGTGGCTGGTTGCCACAAGGATCGGAAGCCTGAAAAGGGCATCTCTCAGCTTTTTCTGAATGCTTCAATGCTAAAGCTTTCATCAAAATGCCGGTACACATTTTGGATTTGCTAATCCCGATGTCAGACATCTGATCGCTTAATTCTTTCATGGATGCCTCGTTAGTGAGGCATCCATTGATGAACAGTATCCACTGATCTCAGCTGGCACTGGCATTCTGGAGCCCTGAATAGCGGTTCATGTACAGTGAGTTACACTGACAAATAGGAGCATGGGTTTGTCGGTAGCTCAGTAATATTTGTTGTAGTTAATGAAACCTGTACAAAAAAAGTACTATGCTTACTGACATATAGTAGGCACTATAAGGTGCTGGACCCCAGGTTACAGTTTTCCTTAAGACCGCACTGCTACAGCCTCCTGCCAGCTCTTCCTGAAACAGACTTTCCAAGCATGAGGGTAGTAATCACTCCGTCATATTGCCCCAAATGACAGTTGCTACTTGCAGAGAAGTGTTGGGATGTTTTCAGTGGCTCTGTGGGGAGGATCATCATATTGCATATGGTAAGGCCTGAACCCTTATAGTACCTTGTATCTGCCTGTTACTTTAAGTACTTTTTTATATGGTACAGGTATACTTTATCCATAATCTCTTGAATCATTTAGGCACTGTGACTGAACTTTAGGCAAAAGTTTAAACACCAATCAAATACATATATAAAAATGGTATCACCTGACAAAAGATTTGTGATTTTGTTTTGTCGTTTTCCTAATTGACACTCCATTGCTAGACCATATAGCCATGGTCTTTACCACCAGCATAGTTAAGAAGGACAGCTTGGTGAAAGTCCCACAACAGCTTGCTAATTAGAGAATGAAACGGCAACATTTGTACTGATCAGCCTATTCATGTTGACACTCTTAACCTGGCAGAAAATAAGAAGAGCTCTGTTCAGTTGATGCACTCTCCCCTAGTCTGAAAGGTGCTATGCAGGAGGTTGCCAAAAGCTAAAATAAAGACAGCGTGTAGGTACTTAAGCATGCTGTGAAAATATAGTGCAATTAACAAGACAGAGTTTTATGCAATAGCAACCAATTAGAGATCGACATAGAGCAGTGTGATCTGAAACCACTATACTTGTCATATTTGGCTCTAAATTGCATGACAGAGACTGTTTGAAACAATAATGTTTCTTTAAGGCAGGGAAAGGCCAACATTGGCATTCTAGCTGTTGAGGAACTACAAGTCCCATGAGGCATTGCAATCCCAGAGGCAGAGGTATTATGGGATTTGTATTTTCACCACAGTTGGAGTGCCGCTCTAAGGTTTTCATGTTTGCTAAAGTGATATGTTCTTGAAAAATGCCATATTTGACAATACGTGTTTATTTAAGGGGAAAAAAAAGCAGAAACATTCTTTTATTGTACTTTCTTATATTTTAGCCGCAAGCCGAGGCAAAGGTCAATGGTACAACCTTTTCCTCTCCTACTTCCTCACTACAGAGATCAGAGAGTAACCAGCCTATGTTGCTTCGCGTGGTTGGCAGCCAAACATCTGAAACTATGGGTAAGGAATTTATCTGCAGAGCACAGTGCTTGCTGCCAAATGCAAAATGTTAATAATCAACTAGCTTTGTTATCGTTTACTCTATATTCATGTCTTATCAGCGCCACAAAAATAACTATTTGTTAACAAAAAAAAATAAGTTTAATTACCGCAGAGGTTCCTAAATAGTAAGCTGATATCCCATCCTGCTCAGGGTCATGTCTTAATATACTAGACAAGTAAATGACAACTATTGCACAAATGTACAATAATGATGGGCTTCCTATTCTATTCTCCATTCCCTACTTCCTGTTATGCTATAAATCATCAGCCTAATGAATGTGTAGTTTCATTGGTCTAATCTACAGTGCTAACTGGAATCTTTCTGCTAGCCCCTCTGATTGTCTCGGTAGTCTCTATTGATGGGAATTAACCACAATGCTCTTTCAGCCATAGACCATGTGGGCTGGGCTTTTGCTAGTGCAGTAAAGAAAAAGATGTAGAAATAATATAGTACTCCTTGATATACAAATCTTCACCTTGAAGCCTAGGCTTCAGGTCACAAGGAAGCTCAGGGACAATATTTTCATTATTCATTGCAAAAAAAGGTTTTTCATAATAATGTGATTCGGCATGTACAATACAGATTCTTATGATTTTATTATTTATGAAACATCCACGTTAACAAGATTATATTTTAAAATGGTAAGATGCATCTGACAAAGGCATTATGTAGGAACAGCAGGAACGCAAACCTTTCATAAACATTTTTTTTTTTTGTGTGTGCTATAAAGGACAGGTGGGTGCATAAAACGTTTGTAGACTTAGCATTATTTTTAAAAATCGGATTCTTTTCAGCTCTTCTAATAAATTGTGCCCTTTTTTTTTTATCTGGAGGTTGAATAGCTTTAATGGACTGATGGACCAAATATATTTTGCTATGCTGCCAAATACTGCTTGTTGTTTAATTCAGTATATGCAGGAAAGATCTCTTTCCCAGTGCTAGCAGCTAAAAGGGTGGGGGAAGGTCCTCCTAGTATTGTGTTAGGTGTGCTAGCTCATTGGTGAGAGCCATATCTGATGTAGTACATTACACTATCTCCCTTTTTTAGACTGTAAATGGTATGTTAAACCTGTTCAGGATCCATTCATGCCATATCTAGTAAATACTTCTAAACCTATGATTTATGTGGCCTGTACATCATGTACCAAAACCTTAAACCTTACTATAGAGTTGAAACTTGCAAAGCGGTAAAGGAGTTTTAAGGAAAACCTTCGTCATGAGTGAAACGTAAAGATTGCCTTTACTGACGGTTTTTTCCAAAATGCTAGTTGCCTGTAGAGTGGACCCCTTCTTGCCTCATGCTTGAGGACTTTGAGTGCTGAAATATGCAGATAAAGACTTCTGACTGCAGGACTCAGAAAATATTGAAGGTATTGGATATACATAACAGTAAAGCAACTAGTAGTCCCTCTAGACAAATCTGGGCCATGCCTGCAAATGTGCTCTACAGGCGGAATATAAAATGAATTGGATGTTCCTATTAGAGATAATTTGTTAAAATTCTGCCAGCATAATAACGTGCTCTCTGATTGCAAAGAATCTTACCTAAGCAAACAGTCATGTCCTGACTGCAGAGCTTCAGTCTGAAATTCACTGTGGCGGCTTTCTATAATCAATAGCCTGAATCATTATTGCTATGGCAACATGGCATGTATTTAGATATTGAAAAATAAGCATGCAAAGTCATCTCCGATAATATCCTAGGCATTTCACAAACTATCGATTTCTAATCTAGGTGAAGATAAAAGATGAGCTCTTGTCTAAATATTTGATATCTTAATTTCTGTGTGCTCAGTTGTGTATGCATTCATTTGTGCAATGCCACAGTGTATGGGTTTATTTTTTTTTATACATTTTTATCAAAACGAGTTTCGTATTCCTTGCCAAATGCATTGATAATCACTGTTAATCTGTAAATTGCTATATGTTCTAACTATGTCTGAACTGCTACAAGTCAGAAACAAAGAATGCTCCTAAAGGTCCATGTCATTGAGTTATTTATTCTTCAGTAACACAACTTTCCAAGCAGTGAAATGCCATATTGATGCGATGATGCAGTCATATGAATTCTCTTGTAAAGCACAGCATGCCGTGTTACCGTTGAATTGTTGGGTCTGACCTAATTTGTGATTGCTTATATCAAAAGCTAAATGAAAAAATTCCGCTAAGCCCGCTAAAGCTGACCAATTTGAATCAAATGTGTGAAAGCCTTGTACAACACAGTGCAGGCACACTAAAACTTGAATAAAATAACTGCTCCTCATAAAGTTATGCTGCAACTGGAAAAATTTGGACCCATTCAGCATTTAGTCCCCATTCACACCTGAAGGTAGCAGGAGTGAGTTTGATTGTGTTTGCCGCGCGTCGCAAATTCTGCTACAGGCATCTAACGTTTTTTTTCCCCATGTGTTTCTGCATATTTTAACCAGGCTTTTGCCTTGCTGCATTTGGGGTGCCATTAACTAGTAATGGCACCACAAGCACGTTACTTCTTTCTTTTTTTTTTTTGACACATTCTGTGAACGCGTGTCAAAGCGTTTGTTGTTCCCGAGTTTGGGACCCGTTCATAGAATGCTTATGTATGAACAGGGACTCACACTGTTATGTGCCTTTTTATATCACGTACACCTGCTTGTGGGCAGAAGCTAGGTCAAGCATTACATCATGTGGCATAAAAAATGCAGACATTGCTAAAAGGTTCAGTTGTTGATCAACCACACAAGCATGGGGGGATATTTGGGATCTAAACAACTTATTGTGCAATGTTGGCAGGTAGTAGATGTTGTGGTTGCAGTATCCCAGAATCTGCTGACAGCCTTGGATTTTAATGTAGAAATGAATTGTAGAAACACCTACAGTAAAAAGTAAAAAAAACGCTCTTGCTTGAGTCGGCATGGGTCAGAATTTCTAAAATTTCCAGAATAATTTAGGGTGCTCTGAAGGCTAAAGAGGACCTTATGTTTTGGAGTACCTATGACTCATCTTGGACATGGCCCTGTCCTGGATGTTCCTTCCCTGTGAAAAGGTCCTGTCTATCCGCTCTAATGCGGTCCTGAAGTCGCCCAACCTTTTGCTCTTGAATGAAGTTGCTCGACTTCAAGACAGTTCCTTATGCACCATATCACTCTGGACTGTTGCAGCTTAGCATTTTAGCTACTTGAGATGAGCATACTAAATCCTTGGACTTCCATTAGCTAGCTTTCTCTAGTGTAGTAAATCAACCCAAAATTGGAATTGGAGAAATCCTTCCCTTGATGGTCTGGAAGGTGGTCACTATGGATGCCAGGCTATCATGCTGGGTAGGAGTCCTGGTAAATTTCCTGGTTTAAGGGAATTAGTCAGGGGAGGAATCCTGATCAACATCCTAGAGCTCAGGGCGATTTAGTTGTTCCCTGTAACCAGACCCCAGTTACAGGGTCGCCAGACCAGGATTCAGTCAGACAATGCCACAGCTGTGGCTTACCTTTTAATAATCAAGGAGGCAGGTGTAAGTGGCACATCTCAAAGAGAAGTGGACCTGATCCTGGCCTTATGCGGAACTCCACATCTATAAACTAGCATCAAGCTTCAGATCACGTCCACCTGAAACACTGGCTATCGGATCTGACCCAAATGGGAATGCAAATGGGGGCTTACCGTGTTATGGAATTGAGTTGTATATTTTATGGGGGGGGAGTTATGCCTCAACATTGGCTTCAGTACAATTCTTAACAATATTAGCACTTGCATCTATTACAGCTATGGAATCAATAGCTGTTTGGTGCCTGACTAGTGAACACAGATAAAAGAGCTTAATTATGAGGCACCGTAATCACTGAGCCTTTGATAATTCTGTTATCTCATATAACTAAACATTTTTGATGATAGAAACACTAGGGTTTTTGTGTTGTAGCTGCTTGATCATCTGTCAGAGCAATTGCATTGTCCACTTACAAATCAGTAGATCTGTAAAGACGCATTAATCCTAGGATCTATACATGTTGTACTGACTGTAATTAGCTGTTGTTGTAGGACTGCTTTTCTGTATATACTGAGGGATGACCAACTTACCATCATTTTAATATCATTTCTTAGAACACTTCACTGTTGAAGCTGTGAACGAAAAGCACACTTTTATTCTTTTGCTGGCCATACATGGCCTGAAATTCAAGCTGTGTGTAGCGTACCTGGTTTGACCAACTTCAACTCAGGAGCCAGGTGGAAAATTGTTGGTCAAACAGTGACTTAATGCAGCCAGATGCAGTCACCGTTTGGGTATCAGACAGCTGCGGGTGTTGGCTGTGTAAATACAATAGCGGACGGGGAGACCCCCTCCATCCATGCTGGCTGAATAAGCAAAATCTACGTGTGTGTGTGTGATTAGCCTTATTTGTCCCTGAATCCTAATATTAAACTAAAATAAACAAGTATGTATCTGATTTTAGAACAGTTCACTATTACACTATGAGTTACAGGTTTCCTCTATTAGACTGCACTGCCTGCCGCAGCCTCCGTTTACTTTCATTTTCTGTTTTTTTTCTTTCTTTACAAAATGTTTTAATGCTGATGGGAAGGCTAAGTAGTTGTGGCTCCAGTGAGTGACAAGTATGGAGAACTGAGTGAACATGTAAAAATGGGCACTAATGAGTGAAACACACATCACTGAACATTAATTAGCAATCTCCCAAGAGTGTTTTTATGTTTTTGCCAACACAACTCCATTATTTTTCTCAAATAAGAGAATCAGTAGTTGAATAACACAAAATAAACTAATAAGAATGTGTAGTAACCCAAATGCCTGCAATAATTCACATGCAGGAGTTGCAATTTATTAAAGCGGACCTTTACCCATATCTTTAAAATAACAACAAAGCCACCTTTGGAAATGTTTAGTAATGACAATCTACAAAGACATACTTCTAGATATTTGCAGGCTTTGTGTTCTTTGCATACCTTATTTCTCTTTTGTTTCCTGGTCTTCTGACAGTGGCCATGTTAACTAAGGGCAGCTTACTAGCTCTCCCATGCCTTAATTTCTGGCACATGTGACTAGGACATGTGACTAGGACATGTGACTATGCACATCACCTCAGGGGAGGAAAATGCCTTTCCCTGGGATCTCCTGAGATTACAGATGAGATTTCGCCGCAATGCGCTGCTGATGACAAGGAAATCCCAGTGTGCATTGCATTGGCAACCTGAAGTCATTTGCACTTTCAAAGCAAGAAGTGAATGCTCTGGAAGTGTAAGTATTTCAAAATCACAGCATTTTACACCTGACCTGTCTGTTATTATTAATCATCATACATAGAGGGATGCATTGGTAGAATTTGAGTTTTGAATGTAAAGGTCTGCTTTAAGCAAATGATAATGGTTTGTGTACAAAGTAAACCACTGTGTATGTATTTGCAGATGTGCTGCATGTAACGCAAAGAAGAAGTGAACATGAGCAGCCCTTTTCCGTAATGATTGTTTCAGACTCTGTGCACCTTTTTACATTTAAATCTGCTGCATCTTCAGTTGTACAACCTCGCAAAGTTATTGTAATGTTTGCCTATGAACGCTCCATTCACCATTCTGGAAGTATTGTTCTCTCCTTCCTTGTAACCTGATGTGGAAATGGCTTTTGGCTGATCTCATGTGCTTATGATTATATGATGGAAGCGTCAATAATAGTTCTAAAAAAAAAAACACAAAACACTCACATGATGGTTGATGTGCAACATTGAGACAAGGTTACCTCCTCTGAAATATTGCCAAGATTTAACTTTGCCAGAAGAATTGCGTCTAGGACACTTTACTGATTAATATGCTGTAGGTGACTGGGGCAAGAGAATTACTAAATATGAATCGCAGTAGAGTCAAAGTCACTAAAACAAGCATTGAATTGTCCTTGTTATGCCGCCCTAGCAGAGCCCTGTCTACACTTTGTTGTAAGCGGTGGCTAAAACGTTTAGCAATATTAAAGTACTGATTAAGCAAACTCCTTCAATGGCACGTCTTGATGCACCCTGTTATTATTCAGTTCATCGGTTTAATCAAGCTGAGAGATCTATATCTGTTTAATATTTGTAATGTTCATTTTAGGTACTCAAAAGTTTAAGTGTCTCTTATTTTTTAATTGCAAAAATGCATTTTTATTTCTCTTAGGAGAGGAAGATCTTCTCAGTCCTCCTCATGATACAAGCACAGGACTAGAGGAAGTCATGGAGCAGCTTAACAACTCCTTCCCCACTGCAAGAGGTAAGAAGAGCCAGTAAAAAAAAAACCTGGTTATAGGATTGTTCCCACTTCCAATTCATCTGGATAAGTGCATGGTTTTAGAAGTTGGTCTTACCTCAAACATTTCTACGACATTTAATGTGGAGAAACCTACCCACCACACTTGTTGGTTTGTTTTTTTTTAAGACCGATTAAAACAGAAGTATGGTATTTTAAAAGAAGCCCCATCCCCTGCAGCTGTTTATGTATTAATGAAAATGTTTAAGTTTTTGCCTTGGTGTCTTTTGGCTGATCATGTGACATCTTTGCATCATCTTCCTTTTCTGCCTGCAGCAGAGGAGGGTTGTCTTCAATACTGCAGAAAGCAGCTCTGATGTTATGTCACTGCTGCTCTCTGCAGTACTGTGCTGTGCTACTGTGAGTCTAGCCTGACATGGCAATGCATGCCCAGGGAATGTGTCCATTACAGGATTAACTCCAAGGAAATGAGGTGGACGCTGCTGGCTGTCATTCATGATCAAGGTATTAAAAATAAACTGGAGATCCCCTTTAAGTGCAATTAACCAGAAAATAAAGCACAACATTATTATTATTCCAATTTTGTGAAAACCATATTGCAGAGATCTTGATTAACCCCTTTGTGATGAGAGACGTACACTGTACGTCCCTGTCACTAAGTGCCCAAATGACTGATCACGTACAGTGTACGTGATCAGCTATTTGGGGCTGCGGATTGCCGGTAACTGCTGAAAATCATCCATTAATGAAACAGTTGAGCTTTTTCAGACAGGGATCGAGTGTCTGACAGTGATGGCAGTGCAGTATATTTTCTGCACTTGCTGTCACTGTTTAACCACTTAAAGGCCATAGTGTTTCACCCCCTTCCTGGCCAGGCCATTTTTCAGTATTCAGTGCTGCGGTACTTTGACTGATGTTTATTCTGTCATGCAACACTTTACTGAAACAATTTTCATACCATTTTTTGGGGACAGATAGAGCTTTATTTTGGTGGCTTTTATTCACCAATGGGGTTTTTATTTTTTACTATATAACAAAAAAAGTACCATAAATTTTGAAAAAAAACATGTTTCCCTATAAAATTTTATTAAACATTTATTTTTACCCCAATTTCTTGGTACAATATAAAAGACGGGGTCACGTCGGGTAAATAGTCACTAAACATGTCAACCTTTAAAATTGCGCACGCCCGCGAAATCGCAGAAAACGACCGCAGCCAAAATTGGCCATAGGCGACGCTTTAAACGCTTTTACCGCTCATCAGTTTAGTGTTATCAGTGATTGATGGCCCTAAAATTATTGTTCTCACTGCGACGTTCACGGCGATATGTAACATGTGCTGCATAATGGGCGCAATCGTCGGTTTCGTACATAGGCGCACCCGACGCATGTTTGCGTGTGTATGTGGGGGGCGGGGGACTTT